GTTAACCCATTTTTCATAAACATAGCATATTTGCTCTAGTGGCTGTCTCATTGACAGCCACTAGAGGCGCTTGCGTGCTTCTCACTGTGATTTTCACAGTGAGAGCACGCCAGCGTCCATAGGAAAGCATTATGAATGCTTTCCTATGTGACCGGCTGAATGCGCGCGCAGCTCTTGCCGCGGGTGCGCATTCAGCCAACGGGGAGGAGAAGAGGAGGATCGGAGGAGGAGAGCTCTCCGCCCAGCGCTGGAAAAAGGTAAGTTTTAACCCCTTTCCCCCTTCCAGAGCCGGGCGGGAGGGGGACCCTCAGGGTGGGGGCACCCTCAGGGCACTATAGTGCCATGAAAACGAGTATGTTTTCCTGGCACTATAGTGGTCCTTTAAGCTTGATGGGAGTTGTCCTCCATATAATTAGTAACTTGAAGCAGAGAAGATTTGAGCAAGCAGGAATTGGTTCCAAGAAACAGTTCATAGTAAATAAGCATGATGGGAGTTGTCCTCCATATAATTAGTAACTTGAAGCAGAGAAGATTTGAGCAAGCAGGAATTTGTTCATTAATAAATGATATTGCAGACAATAGTTGAAAGATATACTTAAGGTTAAGGTGAGTTGTCCTCCAAGAGTTCAGAGTTATAGTCCACTTGTAAATTAGCAAAGTATCCATTCTCCAGTAATCCTCTATGGCATGCAGCAATCCTTGCATTCGCTCAAAGGCTAGGACGGCTTGTGGACCCGGCGTGTATACCCGGAAGTAGGTCCTACAATGACCAGGCGCCTTCTCCCTGGCGCGGTCTCCCTAAGTACTGTCAGAGCCGCGTCAGAAGGGGGCGGGGCTGGCCCCGCAATGCAGAAGTGCCGAATCCGGAAGAGATACCACATGACAGCGAGGCCCTCCATGGGTGAAGCTGGATTATTTTTTTAGCGTCAGGTTTTTTTATTTTTTGTCTGTTTTGTTTTTTTTTGCGCTCGGATTTTGGGGCTGAAAAAATGAAGATTTTAGAAGAAAGAAGACATCAAATGGTAAGTTTTTATTTACAGGTTAGTTGTTTTATTCCTCCCTCACTATTTGTAGGGTGAGGGGGGTAGGTAGGGGATAGTTTTTATTTGGGTGGGGGTGTGGGTGACTAGGGGCTTGGGGACCCCTAGTCATCTTTGAAGGGGGGGGGGGATTTGTCTTAGGGCCACCACCCGCCGCCCAGGGGTAGGGGCCGGGAGGGAGGACAGTTGGTCCCCCACCTCATTATCTTTATGGCCCCCACCCGCCGCCAGGGGTGGGGACCGGGCGGAGGACAGTAGGCCCCCCCCATTATCTTTATGGACCCCACCCGCCGCTCAGGGGTGGGGGTCAGGGGGGAGGAAAGTAGGTTCCCCCCCTTATTGTTATTTAGGGACCCCACCTGCCGCGCAGGGGTGGGGGCCGGGGGGAGGACAGTAGGTCCCCCCCTCATAGTTATGTAGGGCCCCCACCCGCCGTCCCCTCATTGTTATGTAGGGCCTCCAGCCGCCGCGCAGGGGTTGGGGCAGGGGGGGGGAGGACGGTAGGTGTACCCCCTCATTGTTAGGTAGGACCCCACCCACCGCGCAGGGCAATAGGTTTTAAAAAAAAGATTTTTTACCAGTGAGCAGCTGCCATAACCCAGATGCTGAAATTTAGCTGAGTTGTATTAGCACAGCAGCAGCATGTAGAGGTCTGGGCAGGACACTTACATGATGGGGCAAAAAATGGCTGCAGTGCAAGAGATGAAGGGAAGAAAGACAGGAAGTCAAAATACTTCATATGCAGTATCACTGAGACCATAGAGGTCAGATAACCAAATGTTGCCAGCAACAGGAAGTCTTACAACACATGCAGACTAGGCAGTGGCAATTATTACTAATAGTTCCCACCCTAAATCTGACAGCACAGCTAATTCCTGTGATCACTCACCTCCATTGTCCACATTCAAGTTTCATCTCACATAAACACACTGTCTGAACATTCTGAAAGGTAAGCCTCTCTATTGATCAGGTTTGCTGTATATAGCCTACCAAATATACGTAGGCCTTCTCCTGAAGAGAAACCAGGACTCAGACTAAAATTATTCAGGACAAGTGTGAGGCATGGCAGGAGTCTGTGGATAGTCCATGGTTTCGTGTATTTTTTTACTGTAGGGCTGTCATATCTGCCATGTTTTCATGGACACATTTTAATTGATACATATGGTGGGCAACACTTAAAAAGTGCTGTTCTGCAGTGTGTAGAGTTCAAATACCATTGTTTGTAAAACAACTTATTAATTACTTGCATATCCATATGCTACAGGATAGTACATTTCATATACTGCCCATCAACTGGAAGACGATCTATTTTCCCAGGAAAATATGGTAGAGCGGCAACTCCTATAGGGTTATTTACTAAAGTAAGAATTCCAACTTTAAAGGTCAAAATAGCTGAACTGGAAAATTTTCTAAGCTATGCTTTCAGTTTGGCTACTCTGGCCTATAATTTAAAATTCACTTGGAATTCTCAGTTAAAAAAATCAGGTCTGCGTATTTATATTATGTAGCCTACAGATATTACATATACCGGGTTATTCACTTAAGAGAGAATTGTTACATTTAAAACCAAAGTAGCCAAACTGGAAATTCTCCAAGTCAGCTATGCTTCCAGTTTGGCTACTTTGGCCTTAAAGGAACACTCCAGGGACCATAACAACTTTCTCGCTCTTTTACTGCAAACAGATATGCAAAAAAAAAAAAACAAACCTTGCTCTTTAAAGTTCATAACACCACTGACACTTGCACAGCAAGTGTCAATAGCAGACCGGCTCCTCCCTCACCAGTCAAGAGTGTGTCATTCTGGTGTATGGAATCTACCCTAATTTTGTTTACCTCTGTGCAGCATAGGCATATGTGGTAAGTAGTTTAGCTGCCAAAAACCGTTTGACTCATAACATAACCCCCCCCAGATGTTTAAAGGAACACTCAAAGCACCATAGCCACTGTAACCTTCTGTAGTGGTAATGGTGCTGGAGTGCCCTGGCAATATCCCACAGTAAAATGTTAACATGTTTTATTATGGTGTGATAACCTACCTTGGTCTTGTCAGGTGCCCAACCTGCACCTGGCTTTCTACAGATAAAGAAGCCGAATATCTATGAAGAGCAAAGTACAGCCAATGCAGGAAAGCACTCATTGGGTGAGAATGCTCAGCTGATACTCTCAGCCAGTGAACATGGTCCTCCTTTGTTTTAAAATTCAATCCAGCTTCACCTACTAGAACCATGCCAAAGTGGTTTAAACTTGTACGGTGGTAAGGTTAATGGGCACCCCTGGCTTGCTATAGTGAGTAAATACTGAATATAGGCATACAAAGTAAATAGACAGTTTACCTACATTAATTTCTATCCATAACACATACAGACAGACATACATACGTACAAATATACATACTGACATACATATTGGCATACTTACATACACACATGCATCTCACAAACCGTTTTCCTGTCTCTGCAGGTGCCCTCTCCCTCCAACCCCCGTCCCAGATTGCTGAAGGGTTAAAACCCCTTTAAGGTCTTACCTGTATCCAACACCGATGTCCCTCGGCGCTGGGTCAGGGTTTGCCCACGCTCCTCCCCCGCCGGCGGGGGGAGACCTATGGAGCATGCACGGCCGCCGGCGGGGGAGACCTAATGCGCATGCGTGGCAACGCCGCGCACGCGCATTAGACCTCCCCATAGGAAAGCATTGAAAATGCTTTCAATGCTTTCCTAATGGGATTTCAGTGACGCTGGAGGTCCTCACATGGCGTGAGGACGTCCAGCGACATTATAGCACACTTTTCATGTGCTATAAACATGGAAGTGCCCTCTAGTGGCTGTCTAGTAGACAGCCACTAGAGGAGGAGTTAACCCTGCAAGGTAATTATTGCAGTTTATGAAAACTGCAATAATTACACTTGCAGGGTTAAGGGCAGTGGGAGTTGGCACCCAGACCACTCCATTGGGAAGAAGTGGTCTGGGTGCCTGGAGTGTCCCTTTAAAGGGTCACTGTTTTCTTCGTCTTGGAAGAAAAGCGAGGAGATAACCTAAAGAAGAGAGGATAATTCATGACATAGCCTTACTCTTCTGTTAATGTAGGTGTTATAATGTTTTGCTCTAGATTCAAGCCCGAAGTGTTTCTGTAACCTAGCAACACCCCTGGCAGGAACAGTTATGGAGGGTGTAAAGGTCAGTGCTGTCCCAGCTTCTCCAGTGTCTGCCTTTGATGCTGGACAGGAAGTGGAAGGGATTATTTCCCATTAGCCCACTAAAAAGGGCGTAAAAAGATTAATTTCTACAAGTGTAAATTTATGTTGAAATCTGCACTTTTTGTAAAATGAAGAAAGACGACACACTCTTCACACATAAAGGACCTCAGCAAGCTAAAGTGCTTTGTGTTCCCTTAAACTCTAGTAAGTAACATTTAATTTATAACAAAACAAATCCACTGATTAGTCTATTGATAGATGGAATTTGTGATTATACCTGTAATTTGGGAACTAAGGCAGTATATACATTCATTTTTTAGAAATTGGTTTGACTAGCTATCAGATGATCCTATGTTTATTTATTAAAACGTAAAATTTCCAATAGCTAACTGTGTAATACAGTCAGTGCGCCCTGGTAGCTCCATACATCTCTATCAGTGACATCACAAGCAAATCCAAGCAACCAACTCTCAGTGTAAGCAGTGGGTAGGTTGGCAGTGCATGTGATGATGTCATTGATAGTGATGTATAAAATGATATCACATAAGACATTTGCCGGTGTATACAAGGGGGATGTTAACCAGAGTCACTTGCTGTTAGCATTTCTGTTTGACGGTGCAATTTCCAATCCTGGATTGTTCAGTCTTTCATCCTGAAAGCTTTTTCAATATCTAATCTTAGCATTTTCAGGGGTTTGACAATTATTTAAATCAATTATTGAAGAAACTGAAGGGCACAAATGAGCATCTGTAGTAAAGGGATTGAAAATGGCTATGGCTACAGAATTGCTGGAATTTGTACAACTTTACAAAGCCCTTCAATTTGTACGCCAAAAAGATGCTGCCCAGTTAGAAAAACTTATTAAATTTGGTGTGCCAAATTTAATACAATTAAGAGAGCCATGTAATGGAGCTGGAGCGATGCATTTGGCTGTGGAGGATTATTGTGGGATAATGTGCAAGCCCCTTCTTAAATTCGGAGTTGATCCAGATACTCAGGATGCAAAAGGATACACACCTGCAATGAAAGCAGCACAGCTAGGCCACGACTTGCCATTGGAAATACTGGCTAAGGCAAAAGCTGACATGACTGTTATCAATAAAGAAGGGAAAGGCATCTTATTTTACTGTATCTACCCTAACAATAGACATCTTCGCTGTTTTAATATTGCGCTGGACAATGGGGCAGATGTCAACAACTCCTCCTCTGAAGGCATCCCAGTTCTACTGATGGCCTGTGAACTTGCTTGGGGCTGTAAGGATATGTGCTTGCGACTGTTGGACAAAGGAGCTAATCCTAACGCAGTCCACCCAGCCACAGGCCTCACTGCTTTAATGGAGGCAGCTAGAAACGGAGCAGTGGAAGTCATTCGTGTCATCCTGGAAAAAGGTGGAAATGTCAACATGATTGATCAAAAACAACGTGCTGCTATTCATTTTGCTGCCAGAGGTGGTTATTTGGAGGTTCTAAAGCTGCTTTCAGCATATAACGCTGACATGAGTATTTTTGATAAAGAGGAAAACACTGCTCTTCACCACGCTGCAATTGGGGGGTTTGCCAACTGCTGCAAATTTCTAGGACAAAGGGGTTGCAATCTCAACTGGAAAAACCGAAAATTCCAGACAGCCAGAGACATTGCAAAGAAATCTGGTTTTAAGGCAGCAGGGAAGGAAATGCGTAAACTAATGAGCCGCCTGGAAAAATATTCCAAGCCAGGAGCGAAAAATCCAAATCCATCATGGGCAATCACCTTACACGACTGGACATTTGAACATCAGAAAGCTCTTCGTGAATTATTTCAGAAAGTAGCTAGAGATGATGGAAATATTGATGAGGAAAATTTTACCACAATCCTGAAGATGAAAAAGGCCCCCATCAATGAAGAGCAGCTGGAAACAATCTCAAAGCTCCATGTAAAAAGTAAAGTAAATACCATCAATCCTGAAGAATTTCTACAAGGGTCTAAATACCTAGAAAAAGAATTCCTGATGGCTGCCTATGAGCCAAAGAAAGAAAGAAAGAAAAAGGGCAAGAAGGCAAAGAAAAAATAGAAGTACTAAAAGGTAAAACAGAAGGGGAAAACCTAAGTAGAAACCACATTTACAGCTCAAACTCTGTGAAACCAGACACATTGCACACATCTCAACCTTACAATAAAGCATAAAACTACTGAATAATTATATTTACAGAATAGAGTTGCATTATTTGGATACTCACTATATGGTTGCAATGGAAAAAAACAGGTGATAGTCTAGTGAATTAAGATTTTTGCAGTTACTTGACTGGCAAATAGATGGTTGTGAGTAATATTCTTCATAGATTTAGGGTTCATGTTGCTTAGTGTTTGCAGCACTATGTGTGTAAATGATGCACATAGAGAAAAATGCGATGAGTTGTCAGAAGTGTAACTCCACCTCTGGTTCCCTCCTTAGCCAGTCCGAAATGAGTACTGGGCTGACTAATGTTAATTCTTGGCATGGTTGGTTTCTATCTTCGGCATGCTCTGCATGCTGGCAACAGCCACGGAACACCATTCCCCCACCTCTGTGTGCAGCACCTACGTTCAGCATCTCCACACTCTGCATGTAGATGCTGAATGCTCCCCATAGAGTTGCATTGACTCAATGCACCTCTGTAAGGAGATGCTGATTAGCACATGCTTTCCTATTGGAGGCTCTCCTAATAGGATCAAAGCATGTCTGCTATTTAGCGGGTTAGGTGATGGGTATTGCCCGAGGGTGAGTGTATGGATGTTATAAAAGTGAAATGAGGCTTTGCCTTAAGGGCTCTGGTTATAAATTCTAACTTCTTATTGTGTTCATAAAAACTAAATGCTTGCATGCAGAGCCTAAGTAGAGAGGCTTATTTCTGTTTAAAGGGTAAGCTACTGTAGGGAGGAAAGGTTCAAATCTCTTGTAGAGCGAATCAAGTCAGAGTATATCGGACTCTGAGAGATGCAGTATGTTACTTCTTTCTTCTGGAGCCCTGACTAATGTAGGGCTACACAGAGGGTAGATAAATTTGTGCCCATAAGCTTATTATCTATAAAATTATTTAGCAGATGGATAGTAATGGCTGCTCTGTCTTCCCAAACCAGAGGTGGTTATTTTGAGGCTCTAAAGCTGCTTTTGGCATATAAGGCAGCACCTTCAAATTCAGTAATGTCCTCAAATTCAAGTATAGCGTATAGGGTGATATGAAATTCTAGGAAGACAATATTTTCATTGCTGGTGATATTAGATGGAAAAAAAAAATACACTTATCGGTCGGTACATCTGAGCTGATTTTAAGTTTCAGAATATTGTAAGTGCATTTCTTTCTCTTCATCTAAGATTACCAACAATTAAAATACTGGGCTAGATTTAGTTTTATTGTCTTCTTGTCGTTTCATATCACCCTTTACTCAGTTGGATTTGAGAACAGTACTGAAGGCGCTGCTTCCCTACATCACATTTTTACAATAATTTAGCATCATTTTGAGTCTGGAGGGATTGATAGCAAAACGAAACACAAACAGAAATAACAGGATGCACCAAATGTCTATGGAAAATTATAAAAAAAAAGTGCAAGGGACACAGTCCATTATTTTTTCCTTTAGCCTAGCAATATTGCTTCTTTCGATTGTTGGATGAGAGACCGAGAGCGAGAGAGGAAACAATGGTGTAGTAGTTTTGAAATTATTACTACATCATTGGTTCCTCTCTATCTTTTCACATGTTCCTCTCTTCCTGTTTTTTTTCGGTTTGTGTTTTTTTGCTATCTATCTAAAAGGTAACTGTGGGGGTCCCCCTTTTTAGTAATTGCTGCCACAGGTTATCTATCGTGTTACTAACTAGCGATTATCCTTTCTGTATTTGTTAATTCTGGAGCGATTGAGCAGAAAATGTTGCTCTTCCAATAAGATGACATTAAGACCCCATGGGACTCTAGTTAAGGGTCCATCCAGGAGTATCATTGAGATAGTGATGGGGGCATGATCTGACCAGGTGATGGGATGGGTACGTGAGGAGCAGAGAGAGGTTAAGTGACATTTTTCTATCAGTAAATAGTCGAGCCTAGAATATCTGTTGTGGGTGAAGGAGCAAAATCTATACCGATGTGTGTTGGAGTCGCCAACAATCCACAAATTAAGAAAGGGCCACTTTGAGTCTGCTGAGTTTTGAGTAAGGGAGCAATCAAACTTGCGGTTGAGGGCCATTTAAAGTTGCCTCCTAGAATACCTCCTCTGCAGGGATTTAAACAGAAAAAACACTGGTTATGATTTGAAGCATACAGAACAGCAATTATAGTCAGCAAATTCAGTAGGTAACCCTTTAAAATTAAAAACCTAACTTTACCATCCGAGCCAGTGATACTCCCTGTACCCCACACACAAACACTGGCATGCCGATTCTCTGGAATTGGGAGGTATGCATGTGGATGTAACAATGTATTGATAATATCCTTGAAGTGTAGCAGCTTTCACCAAAACAACATACACAATTATTTTTCTTTTAAAAAACTAATAAAACATTTAAAGAAAATAAAAACAATTCAAATAACATTTTAGGTATTTGACATTTATAATCTAGGTTTACATAATGTGACCAATTGAGTGGGTATCTTGTTTAGCCTAGGGAATACTCCTATAAGCCAGTCATTTCTATCTATATATGTATGTGTAGGATGCTCCAAACCATTTAAACTCACAGTAAGTTTGTAGTGTCCAACAGTGAACTGATTTGGAGACTATTGGAATAAAAAATGCAGGATATTTGTTAGGAGACGTAATATTTGTACAGAATTGTAATTATTAAAGCAAGAGTCACAGTCAAGATTTTACTAAACTTTAAGCCATTGGGTCTATACACATGTAGTTAATAGGGATGTGCATGGGCGAAAAATTTGGTTCGGTTCGGCACTTCCGAAATTCGGGACTTCCAAAATTCCCGAACCCTAAGGGTTAGGGGTAGGGTTAGATTCCTGTACTCATTCATGTAATTTTTCCTCCCTCTCTTGTTTTGCCACTTTTCAGAAATCCAAAGCACTTCCAAAATTCGGCACTTCAGCAATTCGGTTCGGCTTGGCTCGGCACTTCAGAAATTCGGCCATTCTGAAGCATCCGAATGTCCGAATTGCCTAAATTTGTCCGAATTTACATTCAGAACAAAACGAATTGCACATGTCTAGTACTCAAGTCGTGAGCTCCTGCTTCATGTAAAGGGGCACTATAGGCACCAAAACAACTTCAGCTTAATTAAGCAGTTTTGGTGTATACATCAGGTCCTTGCAGTCTCACTTCTCAATTCTCTGCCATTTAGGAGTCGACACACTTTATTTTTGACATGCGGCATGAAATACATGAGCAAGTAAAGACATATTTTGTGTAAATGAACAAAGATAAAACCGGTAAGTATCACAAGTAATGCCTGGCTAAGTCACACTTTTTTTTTTATTATAGATAATATATAACAAAGTATTATAGGCTAAGCACACGTCGGGGTGATGAGTTGGTACTGAGTTAGACGGACTGAATGTAATGCTGCCCTGACACTGTGAGACATAGCAAAACAATGATTAGTAGTGACAACAGCTAAATTTTCATGCTTGAAAACCAACAAGGCTCAGCACACCTCCCTCGAACTGCCTCACACACAGTGCAAATTACAAAGAAGTACATATAAAAGGAAAATAAAATATAACAATTGGCAGTAACAAGTGATCACATCAGGTCTAGGATGGACAAGATGGCAACAAAAGAATGTAATTGAAATACAATAGCTTTCCACAGGCTAGGATGTCCACAATCAGCCTATTTCCAAACGAGGCAAACAGGCAGGTGGTACATGTAGGCCACAGAGGGTTGGAGAAGAGGTAGGTCCCTTCTCCATCCCAAGGTCTATGTGGAGGCCAGCATCTTTGAGCCACAGACTCGGTGGTGTTTCAAGGACTTCCCCTGGTGGGAGCAACAGAAGGCCCTGGTTTGTCTTCCGGCCATGTGGGCGATGCTTTGGGGAGAATCTCCTGGTGCCTTTCGGCCTTGGTGGGCTATCAACAGGAGACTCGTGTGTTGGAGCAAAAGCTATTCCCTAGACACTGCAAGACATTGCAGAAATAGGAAGCTTGTGAGGATTGAGTCTTACAGAGCTCAGGAGAGTAGCCACCTCTCCCACCTGGCGAATTCACCTGACCTCACTGTGTTATGGGCAAATACAAATATTATAAGTTTTTTTAGAATGAAATGTTGTATTCCTTAAACTGTGTACTTTGTCTTTGAGATATTGCAAACTGACAAGGTGTTAGAAATGGAACATATTGTTTTTCATAACTGTTTCTTTAAGCAATAACCTCAGTGCATATTATGTTTGCGCAATTTTGTCCCAGAAGAATAACAATGCATAAACAAGCTTCAAGGCTATGCTATGACTCTTTTAGTACGTAATATACTGTGGTAACCTTAATAGATAAGGATGTTCAGACTTTAAGATGCCATCTTGAACTAAGTCAGGAAAATTTCCATGACGTATGCACCCTTTAGTTATGGCCTTGTATTTTTGCCAAGTTAAGGGAGGTCCTAAAATGAATAAAGTAAAAGAAGTGTTACTTTTTCATATATGAACTACGGTAACCCTAAAATGGAGACACCTAAGGTATAAATAGGTGTACTTTTAAATTTTAAGACACAGAGTAGAGACTTGGAGACAGACGCTGCTCCATCTTAAAATGACAGAGAGGCTGACATGATGACATGTTCAGAAAGGTATGTTAACCTATTAATGATATTTGCAAGCATTTAGTTTAATCTTATAAACTCTGCTATAATGGATTGTATAGGTCTATATTTATATTTTTATATAATATCTAAAAGACAAAACTATTGCTTCCAAGACAATCCTTATTTTATATTGTATTCTCAATTATTTATATATGTTAAATAGAGGATCTCTTACACTAACTATATAAAATTATGGCTAAGATATCTGTATGGTTAGCCCTACTAAGTTCTATGCTTTAAGACATTATAGTGGTAAATAAGGGAACCAGCCGCGGTTACAACTGGAACCTTAGGGGC